TGAGCAGGGAGCCCGATGCGGGGCTCGATCCCAGGACTCTGGAATCATGACCTGAGCTGAAGGCAGCGGTTTAACCAACTGAGCCACCCAGGCGCCCCCAGAATGGAAGATCTTTAAAAAATTAAAAATAGGGGTGCGTGGCTGGCTCAGTCCAAAGAACATGCGACTCTTTATCTCTGGATTGTGTTTGAGCCCCATGTAGGCTATAGAGATTACTTAAAAATAATTTAAAAATCTTAAAAAAAATTAAAAATGAACTACAATATGGTTCAACAATTCCACCTCTCTGTACATGTCTAAAGGAAATGAAATCAGTATGTCGCAGAGATATTTGCACCCCTGTGTTTACTGCATTATTCACAATAGCCAAGGAATGAAAACAACCTAAGTATCTTTCTATGGATGAATGACAAATAAAGCCTGGTATATATACACAATGGGAGTATTATTCAGCTATAAAAAAGGAAATCATGCATTTATGACAACATGGATAAACTTGGAGGACAAAATGCAACGTGAAGTAAGTCAGCAAGACAAAATACCATATGGTATCACTTCTATGTGGAATTAGAAAAAAAAAAAAGGCTGTCTCCACCGCCTGTGTGGCCAGGGTCACTCGCCTCCCTCCCACACACCTGGGGCCGGCCAGATGGCACCTGCGAGGCCGCAGGCTCTGTGTGCTCTGTGCCAAGGAGCAGCGGGATGCAGGCCAGGCCACCGCCACCGAGCTCCCGGCCCTTGGAGGCGGTGCCCAGGCCGGCTCCATTTTGTGAGGGGAGCCAGACGGGGGCACTGGTCTGGGCCCTGTCCCCGGCATCCCCGACCCTGCGCTCTTGGCCAGGCTGCCTCATGGAGTCCCCAGGGGTGCCCCCCTCCCGCGGCTCTCCGGCCCACCGGCCTGCTCGAGGGGGCGTGGCAGGGCAGCTTCGTCTGCCCTGGTGCCCGAGGTGGGTGGGTGGCCGGCAGGCGCTGGGCGGCGGGGCCGGGGCCAGGGCCAGGGCCAGCCCAAGCACCTTCGTGGGAGGAAGTAGTGGATTTGGTTTCCCCGCAGTCTGGCTTGCACATAAAGAATGCACCCGTCTGGCGGCTTGCAGTCCCTGGACTTGCAAGGTTGAAACTGGGCGAAGATTAGACCCCTTTCTAGAAAGGTGTTCCTGAGCACCACTGACAACACAGTTCTGACAGTACTTCATGACCACAGATGGCGACAGTGCTCCAACTAGGCATCTCTGCGGACTACATGGGAGGAAGCCACCATGTGATACAGCCTCGTGGTGATACTGAGGACGGCATGAATGATCATGAAGACACACATGGTTCAAAAGAAAGTTTCAGAGAACAAGATATCTCTCTTCCAATTGCAAATGTAGCAAGGATAATGAAAAATGCCATACCTCAAACGGGAAAGATTGTAAAAGATGTCAAAGACTATGTTCAACAATGTGTGAGTTCATCAGCTTTATAACATCTGAAGCAAGTGAAAAATGCCATCAAGAGAAACGGAGGACAATCAAGAGAGAAGATACTCTCTTTGCCATGCTGACCTTATGCTCTGACAGTTACGTGGAACCTCTAAAATTATACCTTCAGATATTCAGAGAGGCTAGGAAAGGAGAGAAAGGAATTGGTGCAACAGTCACAGCTACAGATGGACTAAGTGAAGAACTTACAGAGGAGGCATTTACTAACCAGTTACCAGCTGGCTTAATAATTGCAGAGGGTCAACAACAAAATGTTATGGTTTATACAATGTCATATCAACAGATTTCTGGTGTTCAACAGATTCAGTTTTCATGATCTGAAGATAACGGTGGCATGGGGAGTGGAGAGAAGCAAAAGAGTCTGTACAATTCTGGGGCGCCTGGGTGGCTCAGTCGTTAAGCGTCTGCCTGCGGCTCAGGTCACGATCCCAGGGTCCTGTGATCGAGCCCCACATCGGGCTCCCTGCTCGGCGGGAAGCCTGCTTCTCCCTCTCCCACTCCCCCTGCTTGTGTTCCCTCTCTCGCTGTGTCTCTCTCTGTCAAATAAATAAAATCTTAAAAAAAAAAAGGGTCTGTACAATTCTGGAAACAGAGATATTAGAAGGAAGTGACTGGGGAAGAGATACCTCTTTGTATATTAAATAGCTGTACTGTAGCTTCCTGATGCTTGACTAACTGAGCTGTTAATTCTGACTTGAGAATCTTTTTCCTGAATGATTTTAAAGAAAAATTTGAATTTTAAAGGTATTAAAATATTTTTTTGTACAAAAAAAAAAGTTCAACCCACAGAAACAGAGAGTAGAATGGCAGGGGCTGGGGACTACAGGAAACAGGGAGATACTGGTCAGTTACAAGCTGATTAAGTTCTGTGAATCTAATGTACAGTATAGTGATTACAGTTAATAATGCTGAGTTGTATACTTGAATTGCTAAGAGAATAGATCTTAAGTGTTTTTACACACCCAAAAAAGGTAAATACGTAAAGTGATCGATATGTTAAGTTGTTTGAATGTATGAATGTAATACATTCATAGTGTATATCAATATCAAGTCATAATACTGTATACTTTAAAAATAAATATATACAATATTATTTGTCAATTACATCTCAATAAAGCTGATAAAAAGAAAAAAGGAAAGAAATCAGAACACTATCCACACAAAGTACAGGATAGTCTTAAAAAAACAGTCCATGGTCCAGGTAGGTAATGACCATGATAATATCTGCAATTCCCAGCATAGGGAAGCACAGTGAAATGTCAGATAAAAAAAGGAAACAAAACCAGGGACACAAAATTAACACGGACCTAGAGAGATGACCTGGCCAGGGAGAGGACAAACAAGATGCCATCCACCAGCCTCATTGCAAGACTACTGAACTCAAATTCTTCCTCTGAGGGTTCAGTACAGACAGTACTGTGCCTCTGGGGAGAAAAGAGGGAGGTGCAGAAACACAGCCCTACCAAAGACAGCAACTACCCAAGAAACTGTTGAAGCAAGCAGTACTTACGGTCCACATGTTAAAAAGGACAGAGCACCCCCTGGGAAAAGAGGAGCATGGGGTAATGCAAAACCTAGTTTACACCACTGGGGAGGGGGAGGGTCTTACCCAGTGAGGATATAAGTGCAAAGTTCTCCAGCATCACATTCAGGTACAGGCATCTCTGAGCCTCATTAAGGAGACCCCATTCCTCCTGGGAGAAGTACACAGCAACATCCTCAAAGGTCACGTCACCCTATCAAGAATGGGACGGATAAAACCATGAACATTCTCTGAGAACCCACACTCCATCTCCCATACATCTACTCCACATTTATCCTCTTCCGGAGCTCCCCACCCCAGAGGAGGTACCAGGCCTTAGAGCCACTGATGGCTGTTCTCTCCTCATGATCCCATTCATCACTATATTCAGCCCTCAGCAACAACAGGCAGGGGGCAGATAAATGTCATGTAAGCTTTGGGCCTGGTCTGCAGGGCCCCATCTCTCCTACCAAGCAATTCCCCTACAGCTCACAGATTGTACATACAAGAAATAGCCACGTGGGCTCATGCTTCACCCTGAGGTTCCCGATACCAGGGCCCCAGGGCCCTCAGCTCATACTTACTCTCCCTGTGTGCATATCATTCAGTAGACCAAACCTCTCTCGCATCTTCAGATCCCTCAAATGCATTCCCAAAGCTTTGTCATCTCCGTGCCCCACACCACAGGCATGTCCCTGGACTCACCCATGCACTGGGCACATGGCATCCAGAGTGCTTGAAAATTTCAAACATGATCTAGTACAGCCCCTGTCCTTTGATGGATCCCACTGACAAAGAAAGCCCCAAATGCTGCTTTGAAGGCCTGCCCATCTACCTGTGGTCTTTGCTTCAATATTGTCACCCAGAACCACAAGTAAATTTCAGATACCCGTGACCCTCTGATACTTCTGTGCTTCCCTTCCTGTCCCACAGCAGCACTAACCCTCCTTTCTCCACTTAACCTTCATTAAAAGCACATCAAAACCCCATTGGTCTCCGTGCCAGGCACAGTGACCCTCACAAATGAACAAATTTCCCCAGACCTTATCCACCAGCAAGACTGAAACACCACAGATGCCATAAAAGCTCACCACAAAATTCTGGTGAATCTGTACAGTAGTGAATAAACAACAGGCCTGGCCTCACTATCATCTTGATTCACTTACTACTCTGTCTACATAGCCATCTCATGTCCACTCATCCCAGGGAAGTCTTGGCCACCTGCCAAATCATCCTCTCTCCCATGTGGCTTCCACTATCAGAGTTCTCCCTTGGCATGCACCCTCTTCTTTCTAACCCACTAACAGCATTACCACCACAACACCACAACCTGCACAACCCCTCCTATATGTGATCCAAATCTCCACCTTGGTCCACACAATAGCCGTCACTTTTGGATGTCTCTATCCTGGACCTTTCCCCAGATTCCAGACCTGTGTGTCCAGCGGCCTATCTGATGCTTTTACTCAGTTCTCTGAAACTTCTCCAACGCTTAATAGGGCCAAAAACCTTAAGAAAATTCTCAGTGGAAATTAACCTACCACCGACTTTCCCATCCCAGTTGATGGACCTTCCATAGCTTCAGCTGCTAGGACCAAAAAACCTGAGATCCTCCCTGACTCCTTTCTCTCCCTCACCTACAACATCCAAAAGTCTACATGGCCCTTCTTAAAAAATGGACAAAAGTCCAACCCCTTCTTCTACCTCCACAGCCACCACTCCTACCCATTAACACTCAGCTGGATTGTAGCAATTGCCTCCTCCTGGGCTCCCTGTCTCCTCCCTTAACCCCATAATCTGTTCTCCACTGTGCAGCCAGATGGAGTCTGTTAAGCCTGAGTATCACCAACTCTCTCCTCCTATCCAAACTTCCCATTACGTCCCTAACAGATGCCCAAGTTCTCAGGCAGCCCACATTACAGGCCTGATTCTTGATCTCCTGCTCTTTGTTCTTAATAGAAAGAAGACCTGCTATACCCTGTTTCTAACTCAGGCACGCCTCCAAGCATTTACACAAACTGGTAACTTCCTGAGATAACCTTCCACACCTGTTTACATTGGTTGACAAAACCGAGGACACCTCCATGTAACCCCTGGCCTGCATTCAGGACCCTGAACTCGGTGTATCCCAACAGCTGGGAAAATACGTCAAAGTTTCAGGTTACCAAAATCCCATACACCACAGAGGTGGTGCCAGCGCAAGCGAGGGACTGGGAGACCCTCTCCCTCCTTGTGTAGGTGCCGTAAGCGCTTTTTCAGCCTCCAGAAACTGTGGGAAGAAGGTGGTAACCGAGTGAGCTGTTAACGGACAAACCTCTGTGCCTCAGTGCTCCTCCTTCCAGCTCTATGACCTTGGACAAGAATTCAACGACCAGGCCTGCTTGTCTTCATCACCCCCATTCCAACCTTTTCTCCCTCGAGCCGCTTTTGGAAAGCTGTTAACACCCTAACACTGACTGTGTCCCTCTTCTGTACCCGACCCCCCAGGGCCCCAGGAACGAAGGTACGGCACCTCGGTCCGCCAG